AATTAATTCCAAAATCTTATTTCAAATCCATCTGGATCCTTAGTCCATTTGTAACTTTCCACCCTTTTGCTGTTTATTCACCCCCCAATTTTTTTTTCAAGTCCTTAAACTTGTATTTAAAACTCCTTTCACTAAGGATTAAAGGAAGCTCACCTGGTGTTGTAAAACTCGTCAATCCAAAGGTTCTTAATAGCTGAAAAGCAGTTAACAAGCAATTTCTTAAAGAGATTAGAAAAGGAAGTATGTGAATCCAGTGTTCCTTTAAAGGAGCTGACCAAGGTTTGAGCAAGATGGCTGTTCCCTCATCTCTAAACCTGCCAGAGACAGCTGTCTTGCAGTCTCCTCACAAGGAGCAACTGTCTGGAGCATTTGTAGGCAATCTCAAGTCGTCTTCTTGTCTGGAGAGGAATTATGAAGAGCCAGTCTACTTGCTGGCTCTTCATTCTGCTGTGGTAGTCAGCTCCGCTTTTAGCAGGGTTATCTTCAGTACACCATTTCTCCCCTGGAAGTCCAGAAAGCAAGCGATCTCTCCTTTGCCTGACCCTTTCCCACTGCCAGTGCAATTGCATTGCTTTTGATGTGTAGAAGAGTAAAGAGCTTACTTTCTTGAAATCATTCTCTCCAATCTCTCCACTCTGCAAGGGAGGGAGGGGGGAAAAAGCAAGCAGTTTCTGTAGGCAATCTCTCATGATTGCATTGTTCTTGATGTGTAGAAGAGCAAACAGCTTACTTTCTTGAAATCTCTTTCTCTCCAATCTCTCTGTCTGCAGGGGGAGAAGTGTCAGGCAAAGGAGAGATTTCCTATGGAAATCGCTTGCTTTTTTCCCCCCATTACTTGCAGGGCAGAAAGGTTGGAGAGAAAGGGATTTCAAGAGAGTAAGCTGTTTGCATAGCATGTCTGCAGCTCCCAGCCCCAGGCTGATGCATGATCACATGGCTTTCATTGTGTACAAGACAGTAAGCAGGCACTGGAGCATTCCAAAGGGTGGCAGAGTGATTAGGAGGCAAACAAAAGCTAAAGGTGTGAAACTGACTAGTCTTGTCTCTTTCCAGCTGGAAAGCACAGTTGTGGTCACATGATTTCCCACTTAGTGACAGCTTCGCTTTGTGGCAGAATTGCTGGTCCCAATTAGGGTCTTTAAGCGAGGACTACCTGTAATTACCAAAGTATTTTAAAATGCAAACAAATGCGAGATAAACAAAAACATAATGTCTTTAAGCGAGGACTACCTGTAATTACCAAAGTATTTTAAAATGCAAACAAATGCGAGATAAACAAAAACATAATGTCTTTAAGCGAGGACTACCTGTAATTACCAAAGTATTTTAAAATGCAAACAAATGCGAGATAAACAAAAACATAATACTCATTTTTGTATCTAGTGCTTTAAAAGTGTATAATTGGCTTTTGCTAAAGAAGTAGGGAGCAACACAAAGGGATTGTAAAAGGAAGTATACATGTCTTAAACTAGAATATAGATGAATAAAAGTTTCCATGTTTCATGATGTTATTCTTAAATTCAGGATTTATTTCAAATATTTAGACAGTATATTTGCCATCCCATTTCCTATCGCTAATAATTCTATATATGTTTCATTAATCAATATAAGAATTGGTTAAGAGGAAAGAAAAGAATCATTATAGGTAACAGCCAGCAATTTGAATTGGATCTGGAAGTTTACTGGCAATCAGTGCAGTGACTGTAAAGTTTGTGTTATTCTGCAATGGCTGGATCTACTTGCCAGCAGTTTGGTTGCTGCATTCTGTACCAGTTATAGCTTCCAAATCATTTTAAATGCAGTCCTGTGTAGACTACACTGGATAATCCAAGAACACGGGGATAAGAGTATGAAGGAAACTTTTGATGTCAGTCCCCTTCCAAGTCAAACAAATTATTGGTCTCATACATAATCTCCTGTAAACTAAGGTAAGTCTTTTCTAGCCTTGATTCTGTTTTATCTTTCTGATACTCAGTGCAACAAAGCTATTGTCAGCATTTTGCTGTTTTGGAATGCGGAAGTACATCTTCATCCTGGTCCACTCATCCAAATCTAATAAACCCCTCCATCCAGAAGCACCACTGGCTTCTTAGCTTTCTTCTTCTATAAGCTCTTCACACCAGTACAGTATAATAACATCTCTGTATCATCAAGAGATAAAATTCATTATGCTGCTGGTGTTTGTGGCAATCATGTATCTCTGTCTCATGACTTTAGAGGCTATGGTATGGTCACTGCATTAGAAGTATCTGCCTCCATATTGACAGATTTATGCCCACCTTCATCTACCTCCCATGTTGTGGATTTAATTAAAGATGGCAGAGGTATGATTATTCTAGCCATGTAATTAAGCCTTGGTGGATGATTAGAATTCTGCTTCATTGTCTCTGCATCTTCTATTTCTCACAGGATGTTGAAGTGGGGGACTAGATATTCTTTGCCTCATTGGAAGATAAAGGCCAAAACAAAATCACTTATCTGGATGGTTCATTCTTGGCTTATAAATAAAACTGCTAGAGGAATCTATACAGGATCTAGTGTTTCAGATGGTGCAAGATTCAGCTGTGATGTCTGACAAACACTGACCTTTGTCACCACTGCTTCTTTACATGGCAAAGCCCTTCTCAGTGGCTCAAAAGCAGTTACAAGAGTCTGTCAAATATAGGACAAGGATTGTTCCTTTTAGGGTCAGTGTTTCAGCCCACACCACTAAACCTGTTTAATCTCAGAGCTTCCCAGTTTCATGCCCAATATTTGTATTTGGCTCCTGTAGAAGAGTGACATAGAATAAAAACGTTACTCTTCTGTTACACTTTCCCTTTGAACCAGACATTTTAAAGCTGGCCTAGCAAAGTATCAGTATTTCCTTTAGACAAAAATTTCCTCTTTCTTGATTTACTTTTCTGACACTGAGTGAGAGATCATTAGTTTTCCATGCTGAGGCAGTCCATGTTGTGAAACAGTAGATCACTGCTAGCTGTTCTATTGATTATTAAAACAAAAACAGACTATTGCTCTGTGCTGCAATGCATAACTGCGGTTTGAGAATCTGGGGTTTGGACTGAGGACTTGCAGTTTGATGGCAAAGGTCTCTTTCATTCCAAAATGGGCATGTGCACCTGTCTAGAATTTTTATTTAACGATAGAATGCATGGCTGTCATGCAGTTTCTGTATTTCCTAAGTCAGTATCCTTGGTTCTGAGAAAATATTATGAGTATTCAGAAAACCTGGGTATCCAGGAATGGCATACAGAGTTTTTTCCTGTTTCAACATACTGTAGGTGGAAGACTCTCATCACCAAGTCATAGAAGTTGTCCCAGACATCAGAGTGACACCTTTGATTCTCCACACTTGGGCTGTCAAGCCCTGTGAGGCTGGCAAGCTCAGGAAATATCTTTTTTGCTAATAGGGTAATACAACAGAAACTTGAAAAGCTGTCAAAGCAATTATTGTGTTCAACTTATACCTAGGGTAATTAAAATGGAGTTGCTCTGAATCTCATGCTTCTCCATTCCCCTGGACTGAGGTGTCTCTTTTGCAACAGTCCTTTTTCCTTTTCTGTTTTCCCAGGGTCTGCTAGACATTTCATCACACGGGCATACCAAGTTTGGACACCAACTGTATCATTGTCTATGCACTTTTGACACATTGCTATTATTTTCAATTACATAATGGACTTTATTGCTCTGGAATACACTTCAGGTGTTCAAATTATTCCTCTTAGGACAGATGGTCCACATAATTACTAACAATCTCACAATTTTTTTGTATTTGAACAAGCAAGGCAGAAGAAAATCACTACTGCTTCTCTGCATCAGCCTTTTATTACATGCATTCTGTGAGTCAGGACAGCACTCTGATGGATGCTTTGAGTTGGTCCACTGCATTGACTCACAAGACATATAAACTATGTAGGGCATTTGGAACTTTTCCATTGTGAACATCCATTTTCCATTGTGAACACCCATTAGTTGGACTTCTGCTAGCCTTAAGAACTGCAAGTGCTGTCACAGCAGGGAAAGCATTGGTCACCAATCTCATGGGAAATGCTGCTGCTACTGCTGGTGACCCAAATGGTGACCAGTATTATTCAAGATTTGTGCTCATTGTATCCTTCTGATAGCTTCACCATCTGGTATTTGCCCACTTTCTATTTTGTTTTTACAAAATATATTCGGTTTTATATTTGGCCAAGCTTCCCCTTCATTTACCATAGCACAGTGGCCATTTGTGATAGATCTCAAGTTTACAGTGTGAAGATTAAGGATCCACAATTATTTTTTCAAATGGTACTTCCAAACCTATGAACATTCAGGAAATCAGCTATGCAAAAGACCTATACTATGACATTGAACAAATTCCATGCTGTCTTCTTTTCCTGTGCAGATCTTCACATTTTAGGTTTTCTTTTGAGATTGATGGACTCTCTTTCTTCATTAAGATTTTACCTTGCTGCAGTGTCTGCATATTGAGGTATGATTCATGTCTCTTCTTTTTTTTTCCACACTCTGTTATAAAACAGTTTTGGAAAAGTATATCCAGTTCTTTTTGCCACTCAATTGCCTCCTCTCCACTATTTGGAGTTTGTCTTGGTTTCTCTTTATGCTGGAATCAAATTCCTTGAGCCTGTTGCTTACCCAATCTCTGCAGTGAATGAATGTGGTGATGCTATAGAGAGCACTTGGGTTAAAGTAAATGGAGGAGCAAATAAAAGCAAACTTTATGTTGCAAAGCATTTCTTGTGCATACTATTGCCTGCCCAAACAAGGCAGAGAAATGACTGACACTTCAAAATTACATTGCAGTTCTTTTAAAGAATCATGAAATAGTAAATGTAATTGTCCTGACTTCTGTTGGAAGACAAACTCTATCATGGTACTTCTAGGAAATTTCAAAGTTGGGTTGCTGAAAAAAAGACTGACCACCATTACAACAGGAACAGAATGAACCTCATGACTTAAGCTGGACGCAAATAGCAATTTCCCAATTTGTACCTTCCAATACTTGCCAGCTCATGTTCAAGCACAGGAATCATTCTGGATAGGTCTCCCTTGAGATCTGCTTCCTTGAACCTTCCTCTTCTGCAGGGCATTGCCTGGAGCTGAGCCAATAATCTGTTTTGAAAATACAGGCCTTTAATTAATCACCTCATGCCCTGTTTCTGAGGGACCTTGTTACTTTGTTTTGGTTCTGTACCAGCACATTTTCATAAGAGTACGTCTCTGACTTTAGTGGTATCAGGTCCTCTCAGTTTCAGTCAATGGATTTGTATTTCCTGGAACAATTTGAGGTATATGGAGCCAGACCATTTCCCACATTGGTTTTCTATTCCATATTCTTCTTGGTTCTCAGTGATGGGCAGTTGGCACAACCATCATCTTCTCACTCCCAGCTTTCATCTCTTGCTCTGGGTGTTCCTTTGAGATAGAAGTCACATCTGAGCTTCAGCCCAGCATGTCCTTTCACGAATCAGATATTTAAGATGACACATTCTCTTGGCCTAGAGGTTCATCCAGCATCTCTGACAACAAAGGACCTGGTATACCAACTGCTCAAGTTGCTATTGCTTCTCCAGCTCTGATTCCAGTGTTTCCAGTCCAGCTAAGGACAATGAGGAATTTCTGGGCTAATCTGGTTTCTAAACCTTCAACTACTTGCTGCATTGACAGTCTTTATAGGGTGAGCTCCATTTCTCTGAGCTTTTAAGATGAGACAGCACAATCCACTTTTCATTGTCAACAACATTCTGCATCCACAGTTTAGGAGGACAGAAAATCAAACACACTTAGCTTTATTCTTTGGGAGCCCTCTCCACATTGCCAACTATCAAGCTTTATGGTGAAGTGTCATTATTTGGGGAAGGGAATGTTGGCCTTTTGAGGTAGGCTGAGTCAAGAAACAGGCATGGCAGTCAAGGAATGCTCTTTATTATTGTAGGGGAGAATAACAGAATCTTGAAAGTCTGTCAGAGCTTCTGCCTGCCCCTTCTTATACCAAACAAAATCACGGCAGGATTGTTTTGAGTATTTTTCTCTTTCTTTCCTCTTTCTTGGGATTGAGTAATCTTTTCTGAAAATCCTCCATTAATGGCTCACTCATTCCTTCTCCATTCCCAAGGTCAGGTCAACATTCCTTCAAAGGAGGGAGATAACTTTTCATTTGTTAGTGACAAGAGACAAATAACCCCACATTTTCCAAATACATATAACTGGAATTAAAACAACATGCCAGGCAGTGCATTTGGTAACTCAGATTATGATGCCTTTCATTATTTTGCATCATCATGCCCGACCTGGACTCTTGCCCGACCTTGGTCCACTGGACTCTGACTGGAGGCTAAAGGCTAGGGTTGAAGTCACAGGGTTGTTATTTGGGGAAAATAGGAGGCAGGCATATTAGGTATGTTCGCCACCTTGAGTTGAACAAATAGATATATTAAAAAAAGGTGGGATAAAAAATCTAATTATAATTATACCTGATATTTGCTTGAGAGATAGACAGACATTCATCTCTTGAATGGGTTAGTGACTTTAATTTGGAGGCACAGACTAGAAAGATGGGAATAATTTTTGAGTCCTTTAATCAGCATTCTGATTTTGTTTTCTTTGGCCTTAGCAGAAAATGAAGATTCATTCTTGATGCCAAGAATCGTGAATGTGACATCACTTGCTACTGAAGAAGAAACAAATTTAAATCTGGATGCAAATAAAAGTCCTTATATAACGCTAAATACCGATTCTCGGGCATCTGAGCTTTCTTTGCAAGTTGTATCTCAGGAGATAGCGAATCATAAGTGCAAAGAAAAAGATGAAGCTTCTGAAAAAGAGAGAAACATTACTGGAAAAACACAGGAATTGCTTCAGGAAAAATACAGTTTTCCACAAATACTAAATGTCTCCAGTTTAAAGTGCTCTTCAGAATCATATGGAACAAAGCTCTGCATTGAAGAATTAACTGGAAGCCAGACATGGGCCAAACAGGTAGACGGAGGAGGAGGAGAATATCAGAAGTCAAATAATTCCTCATTGCAAAAGCTACAGGTTAATAAAGCCAAGGACTCTGGATCAGAAATGGAATTGCAACAAATTGCTTCTGTAATTCATGAACCAACACCAGATACAAGAGGTTCAATAGATATAGAGGAGAATGATGATACAGATGAAACTCTGACCTCACTTCTGAATGAAATTGCATTTCTCAATCAGCAGCTGAATGATGATGCTTCAGACATACCAGAACTTCCCAACCCGCTAAGCTCTGGCTTTTCTCTAGCAGATACGGAAAGTCGCCAGGAATCAAATTCAACAGGTGGCTCTGCCTTCCAATTTGGTACAGTGGGTGGGAATTTTAACGATGTTTCTATGGTTCAAGACAGTGGTGATTCCATAACTCCTCTCCTACTTCACTTGGATGATGATGATTTTCCCAGTGGTAATAGAAATACAGGAGAGCTTTCATCAGAATCTGATGCTTTAAAAATCATGCTAGGCTCTGAAGTAAGGAATAGAAATTCCAACCTCTTAAAAATAAACGGAAGTGGAAAAAACATGGAATCCTCAGCAAAGACAAGAAGTGTTTCGCCTCCCGTTCTACATATGAAAACTAATTTAGAAGCTGGCAGTTCTGACGTATCATGGAGGCCTATGCCCAAATTGGCACCCCTGGGGTTAAAAGCTGCTAATCACTCATTGGATTCTGAAGGACAGAATACTAAAGTGATGCCTGCACTGGCACCTGTTGCTTCAAAAGAGAAAAAAGTGGCACAGTCAGCGATTAACCCAAGTCAGGATTCTAAAGCAACAAACACAAAAACAGCAGCAGTGACAAAATCAAATTAATTATCGTCGTGTTACCTTCAAATTTTAATAATTTCTTTCTGACTTTTGAGACTTAATCTATATGTAAGGTACATATGTGTATCTGGCTGCTTATGTTACATTGTCATATATTATAAAAAGTGTGCATGTAATTTATGAAAACAAAGTTTTGTACTAGAGGTTAAAAAGTCAAATTTAAGAGGCTAACCAGACAGATGAATAATGCAAATGCTTAATTTATCTGTTATTTTGGTAGAACCCTTGTAAAATATGTTGAGGCTCTTTAATCAATTACATATTTCTGAAAATTCATTCTGGGAAGAAAAAATGCAGAACTAAGCTCTTTCCTTCATAACAACTAACATAGTGAGAATTTTAATTGCTTTGCTCAAACTCCAGTGGAGTTGTTCTTAAATGGCAGGAAAGTTGTCATAGTTATTTTCTTTTTATGACACTGCCACAGAATCTTTTTTTAAAGTATTTTAAAAAATCAGGAATGTAAATGGTTTGTATAAATATATATTATCATATTATGCATTCAGGAACTCAGATTAAAGCATTTCAGCAACAAAGTATTTTCTGTAATACAATGTTGTTTAATTTGTGGATCCTCACTGTAAAGCTAGTGAAATGTGAAGATATTTCATATTGTAAAATGATTTATATTTTTGTATACAGATTTTTGTAAGTATGTACAATAATGCATTTTTTCATCTAGGAAAAATACTAAATGTTTCCAAATTATTGTAAATGATACATTTTTCACTAGGTGTGAAGTATTTGAATACTTTGAACAGGTTGTTATAAGAAATCTGAAAACTTACACATTTTATGTAAATTAATTAAGGAAGGTAATGGTTCTGGTTGTCCCAACATAAAATGTTAAAGCTTTCTTGACTTACTTACATTTGAAGCTTCCCTCTCTTATCACATAGGTTGAGTTAACTGTTGAGAGTCAGTTTTCTGTATAGACATGAAAAATGAGCAATTCTGGTCTGCTCATAGAGCAAAGCTTCACATACAATGCAAAGACACAAGTCAGAATTACTTCTTGTGGGTATTCTTGAGCTTTTAAAAATATGTACACTCAAAGGAGGAAAAGTGGCTCCTGAACTCTTCTTTCTCAAACATTTTAACAGAAATAACATTGCTGCATTTATCCCCACTGGCTGTTAAATCTTCAGACAATTACAGAATTACTTACAGTTTTTAGTTCTCCCTTTATTAATGCAATTGTTTTAAAAGCTTTCTAATATTAGAAAGGAAAAGTTATTAAAAATATATAAGTACTAAGCAGTGTGGATTAAACAATTCATTATTTTTCACTGCTGCACATATTTCCTTATCCTATATTTCAGTTTATTGTAAGTTTTCCTCTGTTTCTTGATTCAAGGTGTTCATTCAGTGCCTTAGGACATGAAAGGAAATCCAATACATAAGTACTTAATTAAAATCTGACTGAGCTTTGTATTTTAGGGCTTGGACTCCAATGTAACACAACCACTTTAAGTGTTTTATCTGGACATGCAACTGAGAATGTGGTTTCTCTGAGGAGCCTGTCCCACAGACATCTACAGATAATTGTGTGAACATCAGCAGTGATGGGGCCCTTGTATGTAGAGCTGTAAATCAGACAGCTTTCATGAGCACAGTAACTCTTTGTTGTTAGGATTTCTCCTTGTGTGGATTCCTGTCCTCAGACATCTTGCTTGTTCAGATAAAAAAGCCTGAAGAAGGTTTGTGCCAGTTTGCTTACCTATATTAAATAAACATAAAATAAATTAAGCCAAACATTTCTTTCATGAGATCACCATTACACTAGAAACTTGACCAAAACATTAATTTTTCTTTCATTCTTTTCTCACTCCTTTTGCCTAGTGTTTGCTTGTTTCTATGAGCTACAGAAACTAAAGAAAACCCCACCCCTCCACATTTCACTAAGAACCCTAGAGCAAATTATACCATTACTATTATGGTCATTTTACTTCTTGACTAAACATGGCTATTTTAAAGGTGCAATGCATTATAATGTAATAGGCAGTAAAGAATTTCAGGAAAGTTTCTATATTCAAGTATGATGCATAGAACTCTTTAAAATACCAGCACCCAATCACCTCTTTCCATAGTTAGTTTTGGTCTGCATTTCAGTACTGGTTCTAAAATTTTTAAAAATAATACTAGTACATCCTACGATACTATTCCTTATGTATTTCAAAAGTAGCTTTGATGAAAATTATGTATAGTTTTTTAGGAATAATAATGCAAGACTGAATTTTATAAGCATTTTCTAATCAAGAGAACAGTTAAAACTGAGAATTTATGCATTTCACTTAAGCTTGTAAATTTGATTTTTAATTCATCTGTAAATGGCTGAAATGTTTTTTAATAACACAATGTCAGGTTTTGTTTCTATTATATATTCCCTCTTTTTCTGTATCTACTAAAAACGAGTATTTTTGTAATTATCTAACCATAAAGCCTATCTGAATAACTGTGAGAGGGAGAATCTGTATAATTAAAATAGTCTTCAACTAGAAAATGGTTTTGAAATATTATTTCTAGGCCAAAAACCAGAGGTGAAACTGAGAGGGTAACAGACCTTACTGAGTTTGAATGATAAAATTCTGGAATGAAATTAGCCCTTGTAAAAAAATACTTTAAAAAAAAAGCATTTAATTTTCTTAGCATTGTTATTGTGTTAAGGATTGTTCATATTTTGGTAATCTCAGTTCTTAATTGTGATCTGTCTGAATCACACTTGGGGATTCTATTCCTGTACAAAGCTTTGCTTGGAATGTTCCAGAATATTTTGGAGAGCTTTGCCCCTTACTTGATCTGTAAGTAGGTGCTGCTGCTGACATTTCCTTCCATTTCTTTTCTTTGGCATAACAATAGCATGTTGAAATCACTTCTCCAGAACCATTTCCATTATGTTTCTGTTCTCTCATCTGTATTAAAACAGACATATACTCTCCTTCATGGGCCATGTGACCTTGACATCTTTTTCAGAAGTGTTATAAATGTACAGCAAGCTTCTCCTCTGGATAAACACTCCAGGCCTCCTCTGCCTTGATGGACACATGGCAGACTCTTGCCCGTGCTACTAAGTTCTTACCTGGCTGCTGGGAGGCAAAAAGTATTTGTGTAGACAAAATGCAGAGAATCCATGCAAGAACCAAAAGGATTCCAGCTCACCTTATACTGCACATTTTGAGATGGATGAAATTTAGTACTGTAGTGGTACCATATTTTTTGGTTCTGTACAGCCTTATAATCATGATGTATCCCATCCATGTCCCATTAAATCTGCACTTCTCCAGTTCCCAGTCAGTGTGAAATTTTATTTTGTGGAGGATGGAAGAAAGCTAACTTTGATTCTGTCTTCCCCTATAATAACAACAACAACAACAAATGCTTCACTGGCAGTGTGTAGAGAGCTCTGAACAGATCCCAGAACTTTTTTTTTTTGTATTAAGGCCATCAGATCTTTGAGGCTTTATCTCAGAACTGAGTGGTTCAGATCACCTCAGACAGCATGACCGAATACACAAACAGAAAATTCTGTCCATGTTCTACACATTGGCAGTTTCTGGATAATCTGGGGATTCACCTGATTGTGATTCACATACTGGCTAGGACAGTCAGTGGGCTGTCTGGGCCATTCCTCTGAACCTGTCGTGAGTGGAAGCTAAAGTGTTTTGGTTTCAAAATTCCCTATATAGGAGAATGCATGATAGACCACTTTATGTTATAAACCACTCATCAGTATCTAATTTTTCAGCTATGTTTCTCTTGACTGAGTGATCCACCTTATTCATGTTTCCACTGATCATGTTGCTGTCATAGGTAAAAGCCAGGACACTGTTTTGAAGGATTTGTAGCATTTGTGCCAGCCTTAGGTTGGCTATGTATTTAATTTATGTCTCACCTTACTCCAAGGGCTCAAGGCTACTTAACATGGGGATGTCCCTTCATGTTATCTTCACAATAGCAATCCTGTGAAGTAAATTGGGTTATGAGTGAGTGACTGGCCCAAAGTCATCCAGTTAATTTCCAGGGCAGTGGATAGACTTGAACCTGGGTCTCTCACATCTAATCAACACTTTAAGCACTACATCATACTGCCTCTCTATTAAACCTCTCTGGAAAGATGATTCCCATGCAGCCTAATTCTGTTAGATTTATCTTTGGTCAAACTCAGAGCATGAGGAATATAGCTATAATAGGTTATACACAGGTGGCAGATACATTGTCATCAAAGAAGAATGTTTGTAATGACTGCAGTTTATATGCCATCCCATTTCTGAAGACGGTGGCTTAATATATCAAGATTAAAAACAAAAGCTCAATTATAATCAATCCAATGAACCATTTTGGCGGTAACATGGTCTTTCTTGTCTTCAAATGCCTTTATAGAAACCCATGCTTTTATAGCTCTCCAAAAATGTAAGATGGGGATATGTGCGGTTAAGCTGTTCCAAAGAAGGTGGGCATCTCCAAGAAGGCTCAAGGCTGTGATCTCTGAAAATGGCATTTCCCAATTGGCACAGGGACCTCTTTCTCCCTGACTCTGCTGGATCAGAAAGATTCATTTCAGAGATGGTAATCATGGAGATATCCAAACCATGAGCCATGTAGATCTTTAAAGTCAACAATCAGTACCTTGAATTACACACACAAACTAACTGGCAGCCAATGCAGCTCCCACAGTACTGGTGTTGAATAAATGAGCCTTTGTCCATATAACTACCTGGACCACTGCACGTTGCACCAGCTGAAGGTTTCAGATGATCTTCAAGGGCATCTACACATAAAGATGCTGTTTTCTAATCATTCCTTGTATTTCATTCCAGCTCCTTAATATCCTTTTCTGTGAACACATCCAACTTGTCAATGTCTTCCCTAACATGTGCTGCTCAGAACTAGTCACAATATTCTTGCTGTGGGCTGATCAATACAGATAAGATGGGAACAATTACTTCTCATGATCCTCACTATGTTTCTTTTGATTAATCCAAAGACTCTTTGCTTTTTTGCAGCTGCATCACATGACTGGCTCATGTTTAGCTTCTGATCCATCAAGATTCCCAGCAGCTTTTCACATGTACTACTGCCCACCATAGTCCCACTGATCCTATACCTAAGGTATTTGGTTTCTCTTATCCAATGTAGGAGTTTGCATTTGCATTTGCCCCTGTTGAAATTAATCTTGCTGGTTTCTACCCGTTGCTCTACAGCTTAATCTATAGATCCTCCTGAATGTAATAATGTGCTGTGAGGTGTTTGCTTCCTCTGCCCCTCATCTTTGTGTCAGCCACAAATTTATTTTTTATGCCCTGATCCAAGATATTTAAAAATATGTGGCAAGCACAGGATCTGTGATATGCCAAAAGTACTTCCTTTCAGCTTGATATGGAGCCACTGACACAGTACATTCATAGGGTACAATTGTTTAACCAACTTTGTATCCATCTACTGGTCCAGCCTGCATCTTGTCAGCTTTATTTCATGGTTCTTTATTCTTCATCTCATGACAGACTTTTAATACGTTACTGAAATTAAGATAAAATATCTCCAGCACATCCCCATGATCAGGTAATCCAATCACTTTTCAAAAACGGGATCAAGTTAGTTTGACATGACTTGTGCTTAATAATCCCATGCTGAGTCCTGCCGATTAATGCATTCTTTTCATATAGATATAATTTTTCAGTACAGTAAAAGTATACAAAACAACAATAAAAAAGATAGAAAAATAAAAGGAATGAAAAAAGAAGAAAATACAGTTATGCCTTCCACCCTTCTTTCTATCAAGTAATTATCATCTTATTCTTTTCCCCATCCTCTGGCCCTTTTTAATCCCCAAATTCAGAAATCATCCATTCGATATTTTCTTCTTTCAACAAAAAATCCATATAAGGTTTCCAGTCTTTCAAAAAAAAAAATCTTTGTCATTGTTTCTCTGACCAGACTGGTCAGCTTCACCATCTCTGGAAGTTCAATTAATTTTATAATCCAATATTCCACTGTAGATATTTCATTACTTTTCCAATTTCTTGCATACAATAATCTTGCCTCATCAACAAATACATTCTTTTCTGAACCAACTGCTAATAATTTATCTAATGTTTTGCCTAGTATCATCAAGCTTACCAGTTTTCTGGTAAGGAATATTATCTAGATAGGAATGACACTGCACAGTAGTTGTTCCAGTTCTTGTTTGGTTGTCTCGAAACAAAATCCACAGTCCTCTAATCTTGTGATATGAAGCTTATCTTAATGAATTCTCAGTGACCACTCAAAGATGCCCCCAGATCTTTCAAAACTCTCAGATGTAATTGGCTTGATCCCTGAGATTCAAACACAATTCATGATAGCCAGATACTTCCCTTTTAACCTTTATAACCCTCCTTCCTCTTTGCTTACCTTGGATTGCTATTCCTGCCTGTGTCAATTGGTCTACTTGTGTGAACCCTTCAAGGTAGGCCAGGTCAGAAGTTGCAAAGACTACTGGAATTCTATTGTTGTAGGATATAATCTTGAAAGCTTGCCAGAGTTTCCCTCTACCCCCTCTTACACCATACAGAATCAAGGTGGGGTTATTTTGAGTCTTCTTCAACATATGCTTCTCTATGCTCCCACCTTTCCTAGAGCTAAGCTGTTGTTTACTGTCTCCTTTATCTGCTCACAGTTCTTGCATTCCTTGGCCAATGTTACCTCTACCTTCCTTGGTTCGTTTGAACACTTCCCCTTTAATGAGAATACCAAAGCAAAGTAGGGCTGAAAAGCTCTGACCTTTCCCCACGACCGATTGTCTTTTCCAAGCTATAGGCCCAACCCTTTCTTTTTCTTCCTTTTACTACTGACATGGGGGATAAAGACCTTTTTGCTGTATGCTATGAGCTCAAGTTCCTTTTGTGCTTTAACTTTTCTGACTTCCTTTCAGAGACATTAGTTACTTGCTAGTATGCCACCTTGGTGATTATACCCATCTTCCATTTCCTGCACATGTCCCTTAAAGCAAAAATCCTGGAACCCTTGAGGCAAAGTTCTAGTGTAAGAATATTGGCAATATTTTTTTCTCCTGAAGGCTTAGACACATTGCTATAGACACCCTTGGCTGCCTTGAGTGAACTTTTCCCCCTAGTTTCTCATGGAAACCTACCATGTTCTGCAGAACAGAGTTTGGAAACTTGCTCTAAAGCCATGCTTCCTGTGACATAGCAGATGGCAGTTACATTTCAATGCACCCAAAGTAGATATAAATGATTGGGCCAACTCTTTCCCAGGCATGTTCTGAAATTTACCTGAATGTAAGATTACCCAGCCTTTTCTCATTCTATCCCAAAGGGGAATGAACTAACATAGCTGACCTTTTTATTGTCTTTAGGCAAGCTGTGCTGGAACTAGAAGGAAGAGGAAGAGATATTACCTTAATTCTTGCACAGTGCTAAGTTCCTTAGAAATCTGAAAGGGACAAGCCTATGAAGTGGTGGAATATTTGAACCTCCCCTTTTATATTCTGTTTAAGCATATGTGTAAATAAGCCTTGTATCCCAGAAGCAGCATCCATCTCTATCCAAGGATAGTGAATTTTGGG